GTCTTCTATCCTGATTTTCACTTGATAGTAACCTGAACGCATGTCTATTTTGGAGAAGATCTGCGCACCCTACAACTGATCGAAGATGTCATCAATCTTGAGAAGGGAATATTTGTTCTTGATTGTGACTCTGTTCAATCCTCTGTAATCAATACATAGTCTCAACGTTTCATATCCATTTCTGGCAAAATGTCTGATAAAACTACTGTCTTACAATTTAGTAATATATTTTCTCAGTTCCTCCATCTCAACACAGCTCATGCGGTAAGGAGCAAGCGAAATAGGTTGGGTGCCTGGCTGTAGGTCTATGGTGAATTCGACTTCCCTATCCACTGGCAGTCCAGGTACTTCATCCGAAAACATATTTAGAAAGTCTTGAACTATCAGAATCTCTTGTATATCATTCTCTTTCTTGGGTTTGCCCTGTACCACATCTGGGTTGGCTTTAGCATCTTGCTGGGTGAGGTTATAAGTCATGCCCTGGATAGGAAGTCTGCCCTGATTCTGGTTCCTTGGGCACTCTCTCGCATAATGTTAGACACTACCACATATGCGACAGGTGTTGTTGAGGCGGTAGTAGGGTCGGTCCCCATGATCCCTGTCGCAATGCTGACAGATTTTACCACGTCCTGCCACTGGAGCCTGGATCATTGGCTTGGGCCTCTTGTTCTGTTGGACAGACGCAGTAGGTGCTGGTTTGCGGGGTGGAGCTGAGGGTCTGAAGTTCTCTGCTGCTTGAGAGAGGGTGTGGAAGCTCCTCTCCACCAGCTGTGCCTTGGCCAGAACTGCCGAATAAGTCTTGAGCTCCAGCACGAACAAATGCTGCCTGATCTCTGGGTGGAGGCCCCATTGGAACCTCCTAGCCTTCCTGCCCTCATCCAACAATGTCTCAAAGGAGTATCGACCAAACTCCAGGAACTTACGAGCATATTCTGACACAGTCATGTTCTCCTAGACCAACTAGACAAACTCCATCTTCTTTAGATGTCGGAGATGCTTTGGGAGGTACTCTGTATGAAAGGCTGCTAAGAACTGTTCTCAAGTAACTGGAATAGGCAGGGTGGTTTGTTTGAGTTCCCATTAGCGGTCTGCTTCTCCCACTAGCATGTAGGTAGCATCCAACAACGTCTCAAGGGAGTATCGGCCCAACTCCAGGAACTTACGAGCATATTTTGACACAGTCATGTTCTCCTAGACCAACTAGACAAATTTCATCTCCTTCAGATGTCGGAGATGCTCTAGGAGGTACTCTGCATGAAAGGCTGCTAGGAACTATTCTCAAGTAACTGAAACAGGCAGGGTGGTCTGTTTGAGTTCCCACCAGCGGTCTGCTTCTCCCACTAGCATGTAGGTAGCAAAGGTGACCTTCTGCTCAAAAGTCATCTCTAGGGTCTTGAAGGCCTTCTCTGTCTCTACTAACTAGTACTCGGTATTTTTAAAAAAGGATCCCCCTGCAAAAGTAGATGAGTTTAGTCTCTTGTACCTCTCTATGTAGCCTGGATAAATCGTGGGAGGAACTGGGTCCCATAGAAAAGGGATTGGGCCAGGCTGAGGATATACTGGGGGGTCCTGTGGTGCTGATACGACACCGGATTGTATTGTGCCGGTGCCAGACAATACTGTGGCTGGAGCACCGAATCATATTGTGATGGTGTCGGGTGGTACTGTGGAGGAGTAGGGTCGTACCGAGGTGGCTCCGGATCTTCTCCCTGCAGTGGTGGCTCAACCTGTGGTAGCGGGGGAGGGTCAGGTAGCTCCCTTATCTCCTCTTGGCCCTACTAGGTAGCAATGAGTCTCTCCAACATCTCAAATATTCTGTCAACATCTTCCCTAAGCGAACCATCCTGGGCTGTTCGGTTTAGTGGGGTCTTCCTCCCCTCATCTCTCTGTACCTGCATTTCACAAGGAATGGTTGAGTGATAATTCATTGGTTTGATGTTTCTATAAGTATTATTGTGTAAGGGATGAGTCCGAGGAACGCGGCTCTGATACCAACTGTAACGAACCCGAAAATCTAAAAGGAAATATATAATAATTTAAGTGCAGAAGTGAAATAAAAGGTTAAGGTTTACATCCATTACACAATAACTTAAAAGTACTAAACAAACATCACGGAATGAATTCTCTGAAAGAAACACGAGAAATGAGAAAAGTAAAGGAAAATATAAAGTATCTAGCATCTACTCGCAATCTTCTTGCAGATCGAGCTCGGGAACCAGGTCTTCTTGATCTGAAATGGTTAAATAAGGGGTGAACTACACTAACCCAGTAAGGACATCACACTATATCACCGACACAAAAGTAAAGGTTGGTAGAAAATAAAAAACAACCAATGGAGCACTAAATTCAAACCAATACATTTATTAAAAATAAAACCATTTACCATTTTACTTACCATTGGAGAATTTATGAAAATAAATTATAAAAGAAATAATATCATATAGATCATAACTTCATGCACGATCAGCAACATAGAACATATCATAAATTCACATTTATTAACAATAAGCTAAATCATAACCGTTTCTCGTTTTACCAACTTACTAGTATCCATGGGGATCCATAGGGGTGTCTCCGCTACACATGAACCATTTCCCTTAACAATCTTAATTACATAGCCGACCTCATACCCTGTCTGGTATGAGCGACAAAATATTAAACTTCAATATCCCGTCCGGTATGAGGGTGAAGTGGACCGTCCCCATACTCCGTCTGGTATGAGTGCCAAATTACCAAGTCTCCATACCCCGTTCGGTATGAGATAATGCTCACGGTAGGGTTTTCTATGAACCCGATCCGTCCACCATCTCTTAGGATATCTAATGAAGCTGTCGTCTTATCTATTTATTTGATCACACCTCTTTTCTGTTTTTCCTTAGTTTCAGTTACCAAATCAAATATAATCACATAAACAAATAAACATGCATCAGGTAATGCAATCATATCTCAAATCTCAAAATTAAACAGTGGTCAAGTAAGACAGTAATACATGCATTTAAACCTTAAAATAGATAAACTAGATACCATCATATTTTTAGACTGTAAAATAAATCAACAGAGAACAATGTCCAGTTCGGGCTCTATTAGCAATCCATAATTAATTATACACATCTATTTAATTTGTACAAAATACCGTATTATTGTTTATTTAAACTTCAATTCCATGATAGGAAATAGGGTGAGGAGTTCTTACTTGATTTGACACCAAAAAGCTAAATGATTACTGTGCCTACAGGCAGTCCCTAGGTTCCCTTAATTTTCTTCGGGAATTGAAACACGTTTATGGTACCTACAAATGTCCCAATTAAATCCAAAAATTAGTCCCAGGCCCTACTCAACCAATTTCAGAAATCTGACACGGCGGCCCTGCCGTGCTTCGGCGACGGCGCCGCCGCCTGCGTCTACGATCCGTCTCGAGTTGACCATTTTTAGCTGAATTCGGTCAATTCCACATCGATTCCTGCGAGCACACACGCTAAAGGGTTTCGGTGGGCTGAAAAAATACGAAAAACTGAAATTCACCAGCTGTGGGGCTCTCCGGTGCGATGGCTCCTTTAGCTCAAGGTGCGGTTGGGTGTTTCGCTTCGGTCAACTTGTAAAGAGGAAAACGGTGATCACAACGGTGGAAAAATTACACGAAACGAAAATAGGGAAGGGTCTCATCAGAGGCGGTTTGTGAAATTCCCCGCGGCGGCGCCGTTGGGCTTCAGCGGCATTTTCTGACTAATTGGCCAGTTCTTTCACTCTGATTTGGGCATGGGTGGGTTTAAAATCGAATTTCGTGCAAGATGAAATTTTTTTTACCTTTTTTGGCGATCGGAAAAGGTTCCGATGCGGCGGCCGGTGGCGGCGGTCGGCTCCCCGGCGGCTGGGTTGTCTTCTCCGACGAGGGGTTCTGGCGATTAGGGTTAGGATTTGGGTGCGAATGAGGTATTTATACCCATCGGCTTTTGATCTGGGCCGTCCATCGCTTTTGATCTGGTCTGTCCGATCGCGATTAAATATTGAGTGAATCTGAACCGTTCATCGCGATTCAATCTAGACCATCCGTGTGCGATTCAATCTGGGCTATCCATGTGCGCGGGAACGAACCTCTGTCGTTCGATCGCGCGCACATAGATCGCCCACGTGGCTCCCCCCCGCGTGGCCTTCCGCGTTAGCGCCTCTGCCACTTGGCGCGTTCTGGTTGGTTAGGGCTGCTAACCGAGCGTCTGACGTGACACAATTTTTTTAAATTGCGTTTTGATCTTCAATTTTTTTTTTCTTTCAAAAATATCTCAAGAACCTAAATTTTCATCTTTTTTTTTTTCTAAAATTATTTTTAATTTAATTCTTAACAAATTTTTATATCTTTTTTTATTAAAATAAATAAATAAATAACTATATTAAAAAAATAAAAATAAAAATAAAAATAAAAATAAAAACAAATGTTGGGTGTTACGAGGATAATATATATATATTTTTTATGTAGAGCTTCATTCAAAATTATTTATCAAAGAAAAAAGGAATTCTAAAATAAACTTTAGTAAGAACAAAGAGTATTTTTATTATTTGTATAAAATGTGGGTTTAAATTGTGGACTATATATATATATATATTATGTATCTTTATCAAAATTATATATATGTGAGATTTAATTAATAAAATATTAAATTTTTTAAAAAATTAATTGTAAGAATTTATTGTATTATTTAAAAATAAAAACTGATATTATTTAAATTAATTAAGTTAAAAGATATAATGATCCAAATTTCAATACGTTATAATACCATTTGTCATCTTCTTCTTTCATACACATTCTTTAATTTATATATAATTTATATAATTCTCCAATGAAATAATAAACTTAATTAAATAATAAATACTGAAAATTGTATAAAGGAGCAAGGGTATTTAAGTAATTTGAGCAGAAATTGCAACGGCTAGTTGGAAAAGCCGCACTCCCATTAGATCTGGCCTTGCCAAACAGCACGCTCCCCCAAACTCAGAACTCGTCCGGGTCCCACTCACTCACCCACTCGCTCGCTCTCTTTCTGCATTTGGAGAAGCTAAGATCTTCGAGAGGAGAATATCTCTGATTCCTCTTTACTGAACTGTTGAATCTAAACACTTTCCATCTGTGGATTTTTAGGGTTTTCAGTTTTCTTCATTTGCTAGGTACGCAGGGGGACTAGCATTTTCAGTTCAACACAAGCTCCATGATGAAGACCATGAACATCTTCAAGAAGAAAACTTCCCCTAAAGGTACATTTTTTCTCTTCTATTTACATTTTTTTTCTTTTCCACTTCATTTTTTTGAAGTTTTTTTTTTCTTGGCAAGAGTTTTTGTATTTTCCGTAGAAACAAACAGGATTTTTAGTATATAGTGGAAGGTAGTTTCTTTTTTGTATCGAGAACTGAAAATCTCTGTTTAGACTTTAATGTATTTTATCAAAATCTTCGACATTTATCGAAATGGACGTAAAGATTGTCTTCCACTTGATTTTTCTTGTCCTTCAATTTTCGAGTATGAATCTAGGGGTTGTAGTCTATCCCGGCGTTTTTGACCCGCTCTTTTTTGCTTCTTTTTTGTTTCAAATTTTTTTCTCCGTTCTCTTGTCTGGTTGGTTGAAATTGTTTTCAGTCCGGTCCCGGAAACTTAATCCATATATTAACCGTTCTCTAGCAACCAGAAGAAGGGGTAGGGATTTGGGTAGCGATTCTGGCTTTTCCAGTGGTTATTGTATTCGCTTTTGTTATTTCAGTACTACGAACACATCCTAATTTAACAGGAAAGAAGTTAAAAAAAATGAATTTCCTGATTTTACAGATGCCCTGCGCGAGAGTAAGAGGGAAATGGCTGTGGCAACACGAGGTATGTATGGATTATCTTCTGCTGGAATTGTACTCCGCGGCCTCTTCATTCTTAAATTTCTACTTTCTCAATATGTAGGTATTGAACGCGAGATTTCATCTCTCCAACTAGAGGTACTTAGTTTTTGACCTTTGGTTCAAAAGTATTCTATTTTCATGAGTATTATATTTGTATTTCTATTTTATGGAAGTGTGATTTGGACTAACCTCAACCTTCTGAATTTGTACTGTCTGACATTTACATCATGCACTTTCAGGAGAGGAAATTGGTTGCGGAGATCAAGAAAACGGCTAAAACTGGGAATGAGGCAAGTGCAATTTTTGGTAATTAGTTATTTTATGGTTTTGGTTACATTGGGGCATATAGGCTAATAGAAAATAAGGAGAAAACCACTATCAAAAGATTAATGTTATATAACATATCAGAGTTAACAAAGTTGGCCTCTTTAAGTTTGGCTACTCTTCTGGTATGAATATAAATATGGCAAGATCATAGGTATTTGTTCAAACAAGTGGATCCTAAGTTTGATTGGTATGTACAGATGATGCATGATCTCCACATTTGTCATTTTCCTCTCATATTTTGGGTGTAATGATGTCTCCACACGGGCAAACAACAAGCATGGTTAAGGTTTACCTTTACATCTCATGGTCAAGTATAATGATTGGTATTCTAAGGAGAGCCATGAAAGGTTCATTTTAACAAGCCTTGCCAAAGATAGACTAGCTCTCACAATTCAGGGGGACCAGTACATTTGAATCATTTTTAAAGTTTCACCAATAGTATTTGTTTGTGGATTTGATTTTTTTTTTCTTTTGCTTGGTTTTGTAACTGGTAAATGAATAAAGCAGAAAGAAATGGAGCTAAGACTTTTGAATAACCATTGCATGTGTCTTACTCATCTGAGTTTAAATATTCTAATATAAAAAAATGATGTATAAAATTTGCTTGTATCAGAGCTAGCCTGGTGCACCCAGTTATTGAACAATCAGAGTTCTGGAAATATTATGCTGGAGACCCCACTGGAAGCTGCTTCATTTATGGGATTAACTTTGTGTAGATTTATAGTTATATCTTCTCTGCCCAAACTTCTTTTTTTCACCATACAGGTTGTTAAACGGACCATGTAAATTAGTTCAAAAACTGCCTTGCTAACATCCAAATCAAACACTATATTTAGTCTTGCTTATGAGCAAATCAAACCCCATTGTGTACACACAAATCAAACATAATGTTAATCTTGCCTTATCTGTTTGTGTTCGATAATGTTCAAAATAGTTGCTCATTTGCTTCAAGTGCTTTTGCTAGGCTGCCACTAAGATCTTAGCTCGTCAACTTGTTCGACTCCGGCAACAAATTACTAACTTACAGGGGAGTCGTGCTCAGATAAGAGGTGTAGCAACTCATACACAGGTCAGTTTCTCCGCATAAGTTATTACAACTCTAGCAACTTGTTCTGATTTGTACTTTTATCGTTGACGTTGTTATATATTGGCAGGCACTATATGCTAGTACTTCAATTTCTACTGGGATGAAAGGTGCCACCAAAGCAATGACTGCAATGAATAAGGTATGTTCATGGCTGCAACTTTAGTATTACTTGATCAACTGCAAAATGTTATCTCCAGATCGGAAGATGTTAGTCTGAGTAATATCTGCCCACAAACAGCTCCTAGGAATTTGCAGTTAGTTAATAACTAAACATGTGAGTAGAAATAAATGAAATTTCTATAGGTGTTATACCTTTAATGTGTCTTCTGGAATTCACACTATTTGATTGATTTATTTCATAAGCTATAATTTAGTTTCTAACACTCTGTGTGTCCATTTGAAGCAAGTCTAAGCATCACTTGCCTTTGTAGAGCATAATCACTATATTTTCTGTCCTTTCGCAGCAAATGGAACCTGCAAAACAAGCCAAAGTGATAAAAGAATTCCAGAAACAATCAGCACAAATGGACCTGACAGTAATGTTTCTTTTTGCCCAAGATTACTTTTTCCGTCATGTTATCCAATACTTGATGTATTCTCCATGATAGCTTGAATTTTTTATTTCTCGTAAGTTTATTCTTGTACCATGTGTATTTTGTTTTTCTCTTTGTAGATAGAGATGATGTCCGAGGCTATTGATGAGACTTTAGACAAGGATGAAGCTGAGGAGGAGACAGAAGAACTCACTAACCAGGTGGAATGTTGCTTGTTGTTTTTAGTCCTTCTCCAATGGGTGGTGTCACCTACATTCCAAAAAACTATATTAGCACTCCTCAAATTGCTTTTCACAGAAGTAGTAATTCAAATAGGAGTGCCAATATAAATTATTGGAGGCCAACTTTGGCACTATCCTTCTCTTACACGTCTTGCTCCGTTTTGTGTCCTCATGATCCCTAACAAATATATTGCTATGATTTAGGTGCTTGATGAGATTGGCGTGGATATTGCATCCCAGGTTGGTTTCTTTGAGAATTCTGCTGTGACATAGTTTTCCACATTGATTATGCTTTGCAAATTCCATCCATGTTTACAATTTTTTAATTCTGGTCTCCTTATTCAACAGTTATCTTCAGCCCCAAAAGGCCGGATTGCATCAAGGAGTGCTCCCGAAGTTGTTCCCAGGTATGTGCTAGTATTCTTCTATCTGATAGTCCTTAGAGGAGGCTTTGCGTAAGAAATTCCAATAGATAGGAAAATCAGTTCATTTTCTACTAAATTTGAAGAACTTTTTTGGTCGTTTCCCGAAATCTACTAATGCTGCATTAAATTGTTGCTACTTGGACAATTTGATGATGATGGGAAATTCAATGTCACATTGGGTGATAAATTTTACGAAGTTCTCCAGGGGAAAAAGGCTTATTTCCAGCTGTGGTGCATGCATAGTTTATTGTTTCCATTTGCTTCTTCTTTTTCTTTTGAGAAGAAAACATAATTTGATGTTAACAAGGCACCAAGCCACCCCATTTTACAAGAGGCAGAAAATCATTAAAAGACAAAATGTCAGTAAGGTTCTCCCACCTTGGTCAAAGACTAAACCCTAGTACTAATAAATACTCGATGCCTTGAAATCTCCTATTATTAGTGAACTGAATAGGATTGAGTCACATCTTCCTTGGTGTTGATGTGGCTTTAATCTTGGTTTATGTCATATTAAACCGGTTTGGTTTGATTTGATGAACCAATTTGTTTTAGTTTGGGAAAACCCTAATATTTTGGGTATATTAGGGTTTACAGATTAATGATTCGATTTCTCTGTTTGGGCACACAGAAACACCACTGCTGTTGTACCCTAGAGGCCTTTGAAGACTCTACCTCCTGAACATCATATTGGTTCACACTAATGATGATAGATATCATCTTGGTTCATAAGGCATATGCAACCCTAGAGGTCATTATTATTATCTAATTCATCTCTGAATAATAATCATGAACCAATTGGGAATAAACTGATAATAATGAAGTTATTTCATCATATAAGAAATATGCTTGATATGAGCATTTAGTATTCTCGGGTTTATTCCATCTTGGTATAGATCACAGATTACAAGAGGCATTTTAAGTCATTAAAAGATGAAATGTCAATAAGATTCTCCCACCTTGGTCAAAGAATAATCCCTAGTACTAATAATACTCAATGCCTTGAAATCTTCTATTAATAGCGAATTAAATAAGATTAAGTCACATCTTCCTGTTGGTGTGGCTTTAATCTTGGTTTAAGTCATAGTAAACTGGTTTGGTTTGATTTGATAAACCAATTTGTTTTGGTTTGGGAAAACTTTTGTATTTTGGGTCTATTAGGGTTTACAAATTAATGATTCGATTTCTCTGTCTGTGCACATAGAAACACCACCACTGTTGTACCCAAGAGGACTTT